TATGATGGTGTAGTATAAAGAGTGACAAGGTCCACATAGAGAGAATGACAGGGTGGATTGATGACAAACAGACTAGGTGTGAGACCAATAGTCAACACTGATTTGTCAAGTACCAAACACAACTTCTGATGTTTTGCTAAACCTAACCAATTATACTTGTGTTGCCTAAAACTAACCAAAATGCATATTTATCCACAGAATGAGCACGTGTTGAAAACATATGACACACTTTGGCGTGACACCAGGTCGGTCCCTTATGCACAGAAGCAGGAAGCAATCTTACTTGGAGCTGCATGCTAAGTATTTGAAAAATGTTGGCAGTGAATGTAATCCAGAGTTCTGCTGAGTAATGCAACATCAGTATTCTTGATACACTTGGATCATTAAATTGAATATTAAATTAAACACCTGTTAACACCCATTAATTTAGGTTATTTTTAAATTTGGCCACATTTTAGACTAGGCAATAGGCTAATTTAGTTCATTCTAATGGCACCTTTAGATTGGCACTTTTTGAGTTAAAATATCTTCATTCGGGGGCTTTTCCAGGCAAATATTGATATATGTGATTGTTTGTGATTAAATATATGTATTTTTTGCCACCCCTTAAAGTCTCCATGCCATAAGTATTCCTCTAGATCCGCTCCTGGGTCAATAGCATCACGTGAGCCCTTTACTGACATCAGTTTGCAGGAATTCTGGGTAGTGCAGTGCATAGATTTGCACTAATACCTGAATGTAATGATGATTTGATATTTAAAAGCACCATGTAACACCACCTCTAACCCAAAGCACAGTGTAGTTTTTCAAAGGAGTAAAGTGTGACATTCCTGCTGTTGGTGTGGTGCGTTCAAGGAATGTGACATGTTTTCTTTTTGGGGTGTTGTCCTTTCGTGAGGCTTTTGTAAACCGGCTCACCAGTGAAGAAAAACGATGCAAAGACAGATGAGTTAATCGCTATTGGTGGAATGTCCGCTAACACACACAAACCTGTCCCACATCCCCATGCATTGGGGCCCGTTTGGACTGGGGCCCGCATAGGGGACAACAGAACTATTTATGTATGGGGGTGTGAATATAAATAACCTCCACCAGTTAAGCCAATGGGATCCTCTTTGTAAACGGCTGAACATTTGTTTTGATGTTACAGGAAGTTCAATCAGTGTCACACAGCAGAGCGCTGCAGATAATGGCTTCCTGGTGTCTCTGTGATATGTGAGGGGGGTAAAGGAGGATTCCTTCACCTCAACGCTCTCATGTTTACTGTCTGCTGTAGTTTATTGGCCTGTAATATTTTCTCCTGTCACTGGTGTCTGTGTGCTGCACTGCTTGGCTCTAAAGCTGGTTCTCTCATTCCTTTCTGCCCCAGAGGCCATTTTTTTCCACAGAATTATTCTGAAGAAGCCAGGTGTCATTTTCAAGGGAGTCATATAGTAGCTCCATATTAAACCTCTGTATCTTTAACAGTTGTCAGTGTCAAGTGTCAGTCTAAATACTAATGATTTGACGACCCATGAAGCACAAAGCATTTTTATGTGTGTCACAGCACACATGGTCACACATTATGGAGAAATCTGGAGAAACAAAATACAGGGAAAAAAATACTGAACACTGCTCATACTGGTCAAACGAGTTTGAATGTGCATTAAAAACCCTGTACAACTCTTGTTGAATAGTACTCCTAAAGCAAGTGGTCTGTATTTAAAGAAATATAGTGGGAAACATGCCAGTAGGTGCTCTTTATTGGAGATGCTACAAATCTGTGAGAAATTGTATGTTTAGCATTTATGTCAGCAATGAAACATTTTTTTCCCTTTAACTTGACAGGTCGTAAGCCAGTCCATAAACACCTTTCTATTTCCCAGCCTGGTGTTTCTGATGTGATCCAGGGTCATTGTTTAAAAGTGGGATCTGTCAGGGAAACAGAATTATCCCCACAGTGAAGCTGGAGAGTAACACACCGGCTCACTGCCAAAAAAGACAGAAGAGAAAGACAGAAACAGATGAAAACAGGAATGATCTGCAGCTGCTGCAGAGTCCATAATGTACAAAGTATAAAAGTATTATCATATCATGTGTTTTAGTTTAAGTGTAACTGCAGTGGGTTTAAGAATGTACATTAAATAAGCTGAAGTTCCTCAGTCGGAATTCCCCTCAGTTTTCCTGAAGTATCTGCAAATTTAAAATGTTTTCCCAGTGTATGTCAGGATCACATATTCAGTATATGTTGTATCTGTTTACTGTTACTTTAAGGGAAATACTAAAACCAAAAACACAGTTATTTTTACCAAAGGTGGAAGGAGGAGGTATTTGTACTTCATTACTTAATTTAGAAGAATAAGATATATATTTTATTCCTAATGGGGGAATTGTTTTTCATTCAGTGTTTATCACATAGGCCCAAAATACAATCATGCACATACAGGGCTTGACACGCAAATGTGGAGAGATGGTGGAGCCTTTGCTTAAGGGCACCTCGACAGTGCCTGGGTGGTGGAACTGGCACCTCTCCAACTACCAGTCCACACTCCATAATACTCCCTACTTTTTTCCCCCCAAACAGGCTTGTAACTTTAATTTTAATACATTTTGGAGAGGAATTATCTATTATTATTATTATTATTATTATTATTATTATTATTATTATTTGCCTCATTGCACGCCTTCCCAACATCAAGATGCATATTACTCATGACGGACATAACCTGATTAAAACGACCAGAGAG